GTGTTGTACGTCCCCACTTGTGCAAGCGGTGGATGTGCGTGTGCATGCGTGCCACATTTGCACGAGTGACAGGTGCCCATGGCCACCACTCAAATGACATGGAGCTGCGTGTGCACACCCATCCACCCACTTGCACGAGTACCCACTTGTGCAAGCAGCAGTGTGCCTGTGTGCCACATTTGCACGAGTGTCAGTGTTCTGACCCAGCTCCCCAAACACGACAAACCCTCTGATGTGAACTCAAAAGATTCCTTTCTTAGGAGCACCGGCAGCCCCAGCCAAACGCTTCTCTCTCTCTCTCACCGCAGGCTAACAAGTCCGGCCTGCAGGGGAGATGAATCGTTGTCTGCCACCCCTATTCCTCTCCGCCCCCCACTGCCTTTGATCCCCCGAGGTTGGGTGGGGCTCTTCCGTCCCAAGGACCGGCCCATAGATTCCCACTGCTCTCCTCTCCTCTGCCTTCTGGGCCTCCCCACGTCAGGCCCCGCACCCAGTCCCTCCTCTCCCTCGGAGCTCTCAAGTTGCTTTGATGCTGACCCTGACTCCAGCCCCTCCTCCCCCTCCTCCTCTGATTCAGGCCACAACAGACAGGGACATGTGACCACTGCTCGCACACATGGAGCTGTGCGCACATGCACACATCCTCCCTTGCATGAGTAGTGTGTGCTTGCGTGTGCGTGCACATCCCCACTTGTGTAAGCAGCAGACACCCGTGTGCGCTCCATTTGTGTGACCGGCGGGTGCCATATGACCACCGTTTGCACAAATGGAGTTGTGTGCCCATACACGCTTTCTGGCCAGTCGCACGGGACTCGCATTTCCTGGCTAATGACTGGCATCCGAACCACTACGAATACCGATTGAGGCTGTTCAGTTTTGTCAGCCACCTTCTTTCTCAAGACGATAGCCACTCCTGCTCCTGGGAGTCAGAAGGGACGTGTGTGTGTGAGAGAGAGAGAGAGAGAGAGAGCACACACCTTCAAATATTGTGGTGCTTTCTAGAACCATTACAGGTAGTCTTTCACTTATGACCATTTGTTTAGTGACCGTTTGAAGTTACAAAGCCACTGAAAAAAGGGACTTATGGCCGTTTTTTTACACTTACAAGCATTGTGGCATCCCTACGGTCACGAGATCAAAATTTGACCGCTTGGGCACCTAGTTATGACAGGAATCAGGTAGATCCCCTTTTGTGACCTGACAAGCTCAGTCTGTGGGGAAGCCTGGCTCACTTAACAACTGGTGTTACTAATGTTACTGACTGCAGTGATTCACTTAATAACTTTGGCACAAAGTGTGGTAAAATGGGTCAAAGCTCACTTTACAACTGTCTCGCTCAGCAACCAAAATCTGGAGCTCGATTGTGGCCATAGGTCAAGGACTACCTGTACTTTGGGGACTCAAAAATCAAGAGAGAAGTTCATTTGGGTTCCTGGATGTAGACAAGATTAAACGCTGTAGGATTCAGAGACTATACCTGAGCTTCTGCGTCTTTCAGAAAGAATTCAGAAGTTGATCAGACCTGACATAAAGGTGAGCAGAACCACCTTCTGTTGTTCAATAAATCACTCCACCTTTTTCTAAGCTTCTGGGCAAAAGCTGCAGCTGCTTTAATGGCTGCATGAATGAGCAGTTCCTTAAAGCAGCAGCGTCTTCTCCAAGCTTTTGAAGAAAGCCAAAGAAAGATTAAAAAAAGAAGACATAGCTATTTTAATGAGTAACAGAGAAAGGCTGTGCTCTTCAGACGCTTCTTCCAAATCCCTGTTTTAAACCGTGACCAGCCCTAAAATCCGCTCTCACCCGCCTTTCAGAAATCTAAAGGAGAATCTAAGTAATTTGGGAAATCTTATTTTATTTATTTTTATATTTTATTATTACATTTATACGCCACCCATCTCACCGGTAGAAGCAGTTTTTAGGTACTTTTCCCCCTGCGCGAAGGGGAGGCACAGAGATCCTGCCCAGGTGGAGGGGATCTGTTGGAGGGCAAATGGATCCCAGACTTTCCCCACCAGCCCCCCCCCCCCCCCCCGGGGAGGGAGAGTTTCTCCGATTTCATTCCTAACGGTTGTTTACTTTGATGAATGGTCCTAATTGGGTAAAATAGAGCCGATAGCTTTGAATATCTTGTGGAAGAGGACAATTAATACTCCCTTGTCATGCTGCTGTTCAAGCTATTAAAAAGAACACCTCATGTTCCCACTCCTGTCACGCTTAACAAATGGTTTTGTCAGGCCTCCCTTCTGGATTGTCGTGGACGGGTTGTGAAATTGTGGGTGTCTCGTTGCAGAAGTAAAAATCTATTAAGTGCCCCTCTCCGCCATCCATACAAGGGCATTGCAAGGCTCCGGCTCGGAAGGAAGGAGATTGCAAAATATTTGTTTGCATTGGACTAAAGTAAATAATGTAAATAAAATGGAAAAAAAAATCCCGTGGTGAAGAGGGACTTCATTTAGCAAAGACAAGAGAGGCGGTGATGTGATTTGTAAAACAAACAAACAAGAATCCATAATTTAGTTGCCTTAAAAAAAAAAAAAAAATCTGCGTAATGCAGTTGATGGATTCCAGCTGCATGCTAGAAATAGGATTCAAAAGATATCTGAAAGTACTTTTTTAATGTGTGGCATGTAATTAACATTTTATGACATTAAAAAGCCCCACTGAAGGTTGGTTTTGACCTTAAAAGAAATATTAGAACTTCATTAAAAGACTTTCTGTAGCAACCTGTTGTTTGTTTTTTCTTATACATCCTCTTGCCTTCCTTCCTTCCTTCCTTTTCTACTCACTTTCTTCCTTCTTTCCTCTTCTCCCTCCCTCTCTTCCCACCCTCCCTTCTTTCCTTCTTCCTACCTCATCCCATCCTTCCATCCTTCCTTCCCTATTCTTCCTTCCTTCTTTTCTCCTCTCCTTCCTTCCCTTTCTCCCCTCCCTTCCTTCCTTCTTCCTTCCTTCCTTCCTCATCCCATCCTTCCACTCCTCTTTCCTCCCTCCCTCCCTCCCTCTTTCCCCCCCTTTCTCTTTTGACTTGTTTTATGCTGCTTAATCTGTTTCATCCTTTGGGAAAAACAACAACAGCTAATCTAACGGACAAGGCAGATCCCAGCTTGCATAGATCCCAACTTCACGTCGCCATTTTCTCCTTTCTAATTCACCCAGGAAATTCAGCCAGGGAGCCTCTTTTCCCGCCTGCTTTTGTGGGGGCTACAAAGTGGTGGCTCCCTTAAGAACACCTTGTAAAAACTCACCACAATTCGCCAGGCAAGCTGGTTTGTTTTTCCCAGGCCCCCAAATGTGCATCGGGGGGGGGGGGGAGAAAAGGCTTTGCCACTTTCTACAAGCAGCTGCCTCAATTGCTCTCGTTTTTCTACGTCTGGGTGCTCTCTGGTTGGCCCCACAGTCAGCCAGAGGTTTAGGCTGGATTTAGCCCTTTTATCCGTCTATCGAGTCCCTTCCAAAGGATTCGGGATGGGAAGTTCTTGACTGATACGATGAGGTGTCATTCACGATCCTTTAGGGCAGGGGTGTCCAACCTTTCACCTTCCCTGGGCCACATTAGAAGATGAAAATTTGGTTTGGGCCGCACATAATTAAATTAAATTTTAAATTAAATTAATTTTAAATTAAATTAAATTAAATTAAATTAAATTAAATTAAATTAAATTAAATTAAATTAAATTAAATTAAATTAAATTAAATTAAATTAAATTAAATTAATTAAATAAAATTATTATTTATTATTTATTTTTTATTATTTATTTTTTATTTTTTATTTTATAATTTTCCGGCCAAATTTTGCAGGGGGGGGGGGAAGAAAGCTTGCCCGCCTTCTGCCTACCTCTCCTCCTGCAAATTATTTATTTTTTATTAATTTTCCGGCCAAATTTTGCGGGGTGGGGGGGAGGGGGGGAAGAAAGCTCGCCCGCCTCACGCCTACCTCTCCTCCTGCAAAAGCAGCAGCGGCGGCAGCGGCAGCGGCGGCAGAAGCAGCAGCGGTGGCGGCAGCGGCGGCAACAGCAGGAGGTGGCGGGGCGGGACTTTTGGGCTGCGGCTGCCCGCCTTTTCTGTTGCTCGCCTCACCCCGCCTCGCGCCTGCTTCTCCTCCTCCTCCTTGCTGGATCTTTCATGAAGGTTGGGGTGGGCGTTGGGCCGCATTACGAGGCGACTTGGGCCGCATGCGGCCCATGGGCCGCGGGTTGGACAAGCCTGCTTTAGGGCGTAATATTTGACCCATACTGGTCTGGAGGATAATTCAGATTTTCTCTGCTAGTCAAGACATTCTGCAGCAAAAGGTATCGACCATCAGGGTCTGTTAAGGGCTTCGCTTATTAGACCCGGGTAATTTATCCCCTCGAAAACGGAATGGAACGGGGTGAATGTTTCTCAGACCAAAGAATTCGGTTTCCCTTGCAGGAACTCCGTTGCTGCTCGAAAAAAGAGTATTTCAGTGCAGTCTTCTAGTCTGATGTCTGTTTCTCTGAGGGGAAAAATGCAGGCAGTCCTCGACTTACAACCGTCTGTTTAGTGACGTTTCGAAGTTATAACAGCCCTGGGAAAAGTGACTCACACTTACGACCATTGTGGCACCCTGGTCACATGATCTAAATTCAGAGACTCGGCAACTGACTTGTACTTATGATGGTTTCAGTATCTCAGGCTCTTGGGATCCCCTTTTGCGACCTTCTGACAAGCCAAGTCAATGGGGGGAAGCCAGATTCACTTAACAACCGCAGCGATTCACTTAACAACTGAGGCAAGAAAGGTCATAAAGTGGGGCAGAATTCCCTTCAGAAATACCTGGGTCGATGTCACTTAGTAACAGAAACGTTGGGCTCCATTGTGGTCGTAAGTCGAGGACTGCCTGCGCCAACAAAAGACTCCAGGGTGGGTTCTGATAGTCAAGTTGGTGCTTTGAGTAACGCAGCTGCCCGGGGTGAGGGGTCTTGACCTCTGCGGGTACCAGGGGACCCACCTCCCACTTTTCTGCGTTTGCTTCCCCACAGTTGCGGAAGGCCGTGATGGACCACATCTCCGACTCGTTCCTGGAGACCAACGTCCCACTGCTGGTCCTCATCGAAGCGGCGAAGAGCGGCAACGAGAAGGAAGTGAAGGAGTACGCACAGGTCTTTCGTGAGCACGCCAACAAGTTGGTGGAGGTAAGTTGGGGCTTCCGACACGGCCAGGCCAGGGGCCCCTTTGGAGCCACAGACAGGGAGCGCGCCGACTAAAAGAAAGGAAGGGTTTTTGACGCTTTATGATTAACTCGGGAAAAACAGACCGGAAGGCAGGGCTTCACGAAGCAGATGGATGCCAAGCAAGACGGCAACCAGGCCTCACAGAAGCTGCCAGGAGCTCCCTCATTTCCGGAGGAGGAAGGTCTGGTGGGAGCCAAAGGAAGGGCCTTCTGCGCGGTGGCCCCTTCCCTTTGCAACACCCTCCCTGTGGCGGTTAGGCTGGGCCACGCTTGGGCACTTTTTCACACGGCCTTGGACACCTGGTCTTGCCAATGAGGGTGGGGAACGCAGGGTGGGATGGAGCCCATCACCTGGCTTGTTTGATCGATTGTTGGGTGGGGGGGG